ACGTCTGTTAGTCTATAAGGTGCCACAGGACTCTTTGTTGCTTTTTAGTAATTAGTCAGTCGTCTTGGGGACACCCAAAATCTTTTCTAGGGAGCCAGCCCAGCGGGGTGCCTTAGTTTGTTGATTGATTGCCCTCAATTATTCAGCAGGTGGGAGTGTTTCAGGAAGAGGTGGTTAGAGAGAGAGCCAGGGGAGCTGAGAGCTAAGGTGGAGTGAGATTTGAGATAAACCATTCCCCACCGCCCAACAGACTATTGAGGAATCGGCCAGCTGGCTTCCCTATAATCTAGATATGGTATGCTCCTGTCCTGCCATAGTCTGGGGGATATAACCCCTTTTAGATCACGAGTTTTCTGATGAATGAGGTTCACATCATGAAGATTGTCTCTATGTGGTATCTGGGGTAAGAGGATTGCCCTTGCAAAACAAGCTCCTCATTCTTTCTTGAGAGCGATCTTTGCTAATGCAGTCCTGCTTTCCTGCATGTCTCTCGGCTGAATCTCTGTTTTGTTCTTTTCACAGCCGCTCGTGAACAGGTGCAGAAGGAGTGCAAAGCAACAGCAGAGAATATTGTCTCAGTCCGTCAGCAAGCTGTGGTACGTACAAATGTTTGGGTGTGAAGGACAAAACAAATATCTCTAAAGCTACCCCTTTAGCCTTCGCAAATATAAACTCTCTGCCCTCGATCCAGGGCACTTAACATCTCTCAGGCCCTCTGAATCTATGGATTGAACCTTTCTTGGGCTTCTGACCCTGTACACAGCCACAGGCCTCGTTTCAGACCTCAGTGAATCTGTGCTGGGCCTCACCCTACTCCAGTTTCAACTCTCCTCTATCCTAGAGAATACTTGCCATGGCCTTATCTCTGTCTTCCTCTTTCTCGGTTCCCCCCAAAATGTGTACATAGACCAACAACAGATTCAGGCCTCTAGTGTTATGATTGTCAGCAGTATTTCTAATCCGAGAAGCCTCTGCTATAGGAGCAAGGCATCTTTAACCTTGGATCTCAGTACAGAAATGATGTTTTCCCCCAACCCCCCTTATGGTATCCATGGCAACTGCCATCTGAGCCCAGTGTGACCGGGCAGAGAGGTTATCGCATTTCCTTCCTTGGGTGTGTTGCTTTTACAGCAGGAACAGGCCAGCAAGAAGAGGGAGAGAATCACCAGTGAACCAGGAACCGAGACACCAAAACAAGAGAAGAAACGGCCAAAAGCCTCCCAGCAGCCAGAGGAGCAGGAAATGCCAAAGCAGTTCACCCCCTTTGATTACAGCAAGTCTAACTTCAAGGTGTTCGCTGGTAAGAGCTGGACTCCCCCCGACGAGGCTGCAGGCTGTGGAGACCGTTGGCTGGCTGAGCCCTGGGGCGGTGTGGGTGTGTAGAGCTCTGTGACATCCAAACAGTAATGTCTTTGCCCTGTACTAATGGAAGAATTGGGAATGATTTTAAGAAATCAGCCTGGTGAAGTGGATTGCTCACCATCCGTCCATGTAATTACAAAACCAGTTGAAATGTTCTTGGAATTACCAAAGGCAGTGGCTCCTTGTTCTGCACAATAGAGTAATGTATTTCATTAAACCCTGCAGAGTAGAAAATAGGAGAGACTTGAATCAGGTGTAATGAGGATCCATTTAAAAGCTTATTCTCTCCTTAGCAGTATACTCTGTTTCATAGTGAGGGAAAGACAGCCCTGTATATTTTATTACAGCCAAAGAGCACTTGCTATTGGTGTGAATTTACTGTTCATTTAAAAGAACCTTTCTAATAGCAATTATTCTCCACTCCGTGTCTGTCTCAGGAAACAGCAAATCCAAGCAGTCATCCCAGTTTGATCCAGCCAAGCAGGCCCACACAGGCAAGGTAAGGGAACACTCTGAAATGAGGAACAGAAATAAAGGTGATACAGTGTGTCTGTAGACATTTCAAACCTCCCCTAATAGCCACTTGATGCTGAGATGCAGGCTTTCAATCACGAATCCATAAGGCTTGTTACAAGCCCTCTTCCCATGTGCACCCTCCTCCTGCCACACTGACTGATGTGCAGATGGTACCCATAAGCTTCTCTTTCAGATCATTACAGCTATGTGTAGAATTTAACAAGTGATCAGTTTACATGTGATACTGTGGGAAATGCAGTTTCCTGTGCAGTCACTTCAATGTCAGTCCAAACTCATTCCACAGAGAGAGATGAGATGTAGAATAAAATGAAGCATGGTGGTGGGGATGAGTCGGGGAGAAGAAAAGGGATAGGTCCTCTTCAGGATCCCTCTCTAATTGTAGAAATTTCATCTCCATGGAATCTGTAGACAGAAATGTCAAGCAGAAGCTCCTAGTCAGGAATGCTCATTTCAGGTGAATGAGAGAATATGTTGTATTCCAAAACTCACAACTTAAATGAGCAGAAAGTGTTCCTTGAAGGTATGATGGACAAGACAGGGTTGGATGCGAGTAGAAGTATCATGTGAATCTATTTTGTTAGTTAATGCACTGGTGGGTTATTTTTCCTTTCATATAGAAATTCTCTGGAGCCAACAAACTTCAGCACCCAGCTGGAAATAAAAGCATGTCCTACCTGGCTGGGAAAAGTGATCGGTATGTTGTTGAACGGTTCTTTGTAAAGTGATGGAGTGTTCCCCGCTCAAGTGCCCTGGAGTCCTAGGCAAAAAGCCACTGTTATACTAGTTCACACAGCAATATCTGGACATGCTTAGCATGAGAGCTGCACAACACCTACTGGTGTTCATTGACATCAGCCTCAGAAATCTAGTCCAAGATTAATGTGAATAAAGACAACCCTGGCAGAAGATCTGAAATCCTGAGGTCACAGTGGTGCTAGTCTTATGGGAGATGCAGCCCTGGACCAAAGATCAGGCTGTACGGAGAGAGCACATGTCTAACCAGGGAGTTAGAAAGGAAAGCGATGGTGTTGGCTCATATGAAAATTCCCCAGAGATTAATTCCCAAGATATTTAGTTTGCAGTTCCCAGGCATAACTCTTATGGGGATGTAGCCAGAGGAGCAGCATTGTGGCCCATAAATCCCCTGCAGCTGCAGAAGAGCAGCATTACTTTGACTCTCGTTGAGGTGGGAATAGCAAGAGAGCTTGTTTCACCACCGTCTCATTACAGCCTTGCTAGCATTTCATAGGCTTTAAAGCTCAAGTGAACTTCGAACCAAAGCTATTCTAAATTCTTTCTGTAACTGTTTTTGCAGGGGCTCCAGGCACAGCTGGCCAAAAAGATAGTGTTTTGTAAGAGATCCTGTGGGAACTGCCAATGAAGAAAAGTTTCTGTTGTCAAGCTATGGAGAGGCAAATATCAATCACTGCTGCAATTTTTGTACAGAAATCTTTTTAAAATAATTAAAACGCTTTTTCCAAAGGGGAAAACCAATTTTAATTGTTTTGTCTTTGGCCTTTATTATATTTACATTTTCAAAAGTGGTTGGAAAATGTATTTGGTGTCTGGCTGAACCCTGTTGCCACCTTCTGCTGTCTGGAAGAGCAGAATTCGACATGTCAGTTGGATGTGGGATTAACCTGGTTCGTATTGCCAAAGCCAGCACAGAAATAATCAAGAAATTCAACAAATATGCAAATATTTGTGACTTGAACTAGATATAGGGGAACAAATCCTATACAAATATAACAGCAAAGGAACTAGAGCCAGACTGTCCCTATGATGCCAAACTGCCTGTTTATTCTGCAAGCCACAGTAATGTAGAAAATGCATTTGCTTCCCAAGCAGTAATAATTTCAGTGCTTAGAAGAGAAGAGCGCAGGTACTTCTGAATTGAATGAAAACCAACAATTACTGCTTTGCTTGACTGTTACAGAAATGAACACAGGGACTGAAAGCCATGTAAATAGGTTGAAGGTTAAAACACAACTGGAGAAGACTGAAGGGATCTATTTGACATTGCTCACTCCTGTGCTACTCTGTATTTGAATGTCTAAGAATCTCAAAGCTTGTTCCACGTGTTGAAAAATGAAGGCTTATTAATGCCCCTGTGAGGCAGGTAAGTAGTATCCCCATTTTACAGCTGAAGAAGCACCAAATTGAAGTGACTTGGCAAAGTCATACACTGAGTTAGTGGCAGAGCAGATACTAGAACTCTGGACTCCTGGTTGTCTGCTCTGACCCCTGGGTGCTGCTCCCTTTCCTATTGTCCTTGTCCTTTTTTTCTCAGACCTGCATCACTGCGTAATGCTGCTCTGTTTTTTAATCTTCCTGTTTGAGCCTGATCTCTAAGTGTTAATCTAGGCCTGGTGACAAGCAGCAGGTGAGCGAATGCAAAAAGGTCCTTTCTGTTTTCAGAGGCTTCCAATCTGAGGACTTTATTTCACACAAAAATTAGCGATGTGCATGGTGGGTTTTGTTCGTTTAGGAGTTTTGCCATGAATAGTGTCAGGCAAATTACATTAAGAATGGCAGAGCTGGGTCCATTCCTGCTCATGAAAGCCATTTGCACAGCTGAATATGACACCTGCAGAATGTCTTTGAAGGGGTGCAATTGAACAGCAGTTTTCTTTGTGAACATGTGCCATTCCACAGCCCACTCCACATTTGCTGCCAATTGCAATTCCCTTTCAGCTTTGCCACCTCTGCTACTTTTTTAATGGATGTATCAGTGAATCTATTGAAAGACCTATTGACTGTGGGGATTAAAATAATCTTCTGGTTTCTATAGGCTCCTTTTCCTCATTTTAGACGTATGTGCAATTAACATTTTCAAAGGTTGGGCTTAAATTTCATCTTTTTTTTTTTTCCCCATTTTGAATTGAGGTTTGTCAGGTTTTAAAAATTCCCTTAATGAATATGACTGGCAAATTTATGCATGTTTTATCCACGTAAGTGAGATTATAGCTATAATTCAGATGCAGTCCTCATGCTGCACTTTTATGTTGCAGGGATATTTTTTTTCAACCAACAGCCAAGGAACTCTTTTTTTGCTTAAAAATAATTTTTGATCACGTCTTAGGGAAAAAACCCACAAGAATTATACTAAGGTCTGCTCTTGAAAAGATGTGCCATGTGTCTTGTACTATTTCTGGATGTATCCCCAGGCATAATAATATACTCCCATAGCATCTAATCATTTTTTAAAAATCCAGCTCAGATTTTTCAAAAGTGACCAGTGATTTTGGGTTGCCTCAGTTCTTGGGGGTCACACCTCCACGGACCCAATTTTCAGAGGGCAGGTGCTGAGCGCTTTCTGAAACTCAGCCCCCTTTCAGATGTGTGTAGATGGACACCCAAAATCACTTGTCATTTATTAGTATCTTAATCCATATGTTAATTACTGTACAGTAATGGACCTATATAAAAGTGTAATGCTTGGCTGCTTAGAAGTTACTTGGTACTTTTGTAAAGAGAACAGACATCCTTTAATGTACATGTGGTTGGCTCCTTTTATAAATCTGCACCTCAGATCTGTAATATGCCCATCATTTTTCATATTGAATTATTTTAGTAAAGCAACTTACAATCATATCTAATTGCTTTACAGAAAGCACTAGAAAATAAACATACACCAGTAACTTTAAATATTATTGTATGGAAGTGGTGTTTGCATTGTCCCTTAGTGGTTTTGCCCTCAGGTATAGTATTCTTGATAAAGAATCTGATTCTGCAATCCTTCTCATGTTGAATAGCACTTACATGAGTAGACTTTTTTTTTTATAGGACTGCTCACAGGAATAAGTACTACTCAGTGTAAGTAACAGTTGAAGAACTGAGTCCTCTATGTTAAAGTATTTGTAGGGGAGGCATTCTAGATATCATGTATACATCAAAAGTTCTTTCAACATCAGTTCTAATCTTAGTGTGGATTGTACAGTTGAACGTAACAGTGCCCTGAGCTCTCAAACTAACCACATAGCAAGATGTTAAACACCTTGGAGTTATTCTTGCCTTGCAGTTAGTTAAATATTTTAAGCAGCGATGTTGTAGTCCCCGTCCTATTTTCACACATGCCTCAGAGAAAGTAGAGAGATCAGTGATGTGTTAGTGGATATGAACAGAACACCTACAGACTGCTGAGAGCCTATTTAAGTAGCCAGATTGGATTGTGGAGCTTTCATGTTCATCGCATGGCTCTAATCAGTGGGGAATATAGAGTGGGTTATACTCACTTTTGCAATTGATGGTATTTATCCATTCTTCTAAAGATGTAATATACCTCATTTCATCTTGACTCTTAAGTAATACATCCCTATGCCTCTGAAAGGCCAGTGGCCAAAGATGAGCAATAGTCAGACCTGAACTGTCTTAGGTTTAAGTTCCACTCTATTCCAGTATCCTGCAGGGCTACAATGGGAACTCTACACCATTAGGAAAGGGAGAATGCTTATTCCCAGTGGAATCTAGTAAAAGCTTCCATTCTTGCCAAGAGATACTGGCTTTTAAAATCATGACATTTTAGATCTAGAAAAGTTTATTGGAAAGGGAGTTTTATTTTTTCCTCCTGCCTGCTACATAGATGCACTCCTGTGGAACCAAGTGCCTTCTTTCACAGATGCTAGGAGAAAGAAAAGGTCCCACTAATCTTTTTAAAACTACAACAACATTCCTAAAATCGTATATCTGTGCCACATGGGCCATGTACAGACTATGAAAAGTTGTGCCGGGATAGGATTTTATCAGCTCTTACTTTGGGTTACTTTGTATAAATCTCTTGTCTTCTAAAATGCAACCACCCCAGACTCACTGATATTTCTGTTGTACACCTAAATATGTTAATATCTCTGTATACAATAGTGTAAGCCAGTATTTGTGAATATTTTACACGTTTGGTATACAGTGCTAAAAATCAATAAAAATGAAAGACAAATGACTTGCAATTTCTCTCATTCAAGAGTGGCATCATACAGGGAACTTCATACATGAAGCTATCATCCATATGTCCTTTCCCCTCCTCACTTATTACTATTTTGTTTGAATTAGAAAATAGAAAGGGGATATGCACTCTGCTCCAAGGAGCTCCCCTGAGGTGCGGGGAGAAAGGATGGAATCAACCCTGGATTTCTACCTTTACCTCACTAGCTGGGGGAGAGAAGGTCATATGTTCAAAACTTCAGTTTCCTCTTCAGCAGAGAGTGGTCATGCACCCCCCATCCCCAGAGGCACATACACCCCATTGGCCCATCTGTCACAAGCCCAACTGCCCCCTAGTCGCACATAGAGCAGACTAGGTCACATCCCCATCTACCCCACCCTCTAGCCTAGAGTGAGATGGGAGGATCACACATCCGTCCACCCATGCCCGGTCAAGCCCCTCCCCCCCCGCCACACACAGCGGGGGGCAATTCCACATCCACTGCCCTCACACACACCCAGCAGGGGGGAGAGATCACTTCCCCACACACACACCCTGGGGGGGGGTTGCTTCCCCACACACCCAGCGGGGGGGCGGAGGGGATCACTTTCACACACACCCGTGGGGGGGGGGTCGCTTCCCCCCAGATACACACACGACGTGGGGGGGGGCAATCCCACACCCCCTCCCCCATTTCCTGCCGTGCAGGGTCAGGGTCTCTTTCCCATCCATAACCCCCACGTGGCCCCCATGGAGCCGGCCACACTAACCTGCTAGCTGTATTCGCTGTGCCGCAAGACACAGTCGCTAGAGCCGCCAATAGAGGCTGCGCGCTGAGACAGCGAACCAATAGCAACCTTCAACGTCACGAAAGGGGCGGGCGCTTGGTTCCGATTGGCTGCTGGCGGCCGGGGCCCGTCCCCCGGGCGCTATCAGGTTAGGGTGAGGAGGCGGCGTGCTGGCGGCAGGTGCCCGCGCTGCTGTGGCTGGCGCGGCCTGTGGGGCCCGGGCGGGATGGAGCCCGGGGCGGCGGCCGGGGCCATCCGCGAGGGCTGGTTCCGGGAGACCTGCAGCCTGTGGCCCGGCCAGGCGCTGTCCCTGCAGGTGGAGGAGCTGCTGCACCAGCTAGCGCTCCCGCTACCAGGAGATCCTGGTCTTCCGGAGGTGCCGGGCGGGGATGAGCCGGGGAGCGGGCCGGGGCCGGGCGGGGATGAGCCGGGGAGCGGGCCGGGGCCGGGCGGGGATGAGCCGGGGAGCGGGCCGGGTTGAGCGGGGCTCGGAGCGGGCTGCACGGGGTGACTCGCCTCCCCATCAACTCTGCCGCCCCTGGGCAGCGGGGCCGGGCTGCCGCCCCACGGGCGCTCCCGGGACGGGATCCGGATCTGGGGGCGGGGCGGTGAGGTGGCGGGGCAGGGCCCTACCGGCTGTCACCGCAGGGCAACAGCCGCTGCCCCTCGGGGACTTGGCTCCCTTCCTCTCCGCCGGGGGGATCAGCGATCCCGGCCCAGCGGGCAGCCTGGCCACCCCTCGGTGCCTGAGCAGGGTGGAGCGTGGCCCCTTCCCCACGCTGCTCCCGGGATGCCTGGCCGAGGTCCAGTCCTGGTGGGTGCTGGCAGGTGGCTCCCAGCGGGCATGGAGTTGGGGCGGGGGTGATTCCTGACACCACTCCCAGGCACCAGAGTGGGGCCTGCCCAACACTTAGTGGGGGACGGAGGCGGCGCCGCTCCGGAGCGAGACCTGATGCCACGAGCCTCTTCGCGGGCGCTGTCCTGAGGCCCCTTCGTTTCTCTTGCCTTCGCAGTAAGACCTACGGCAACGTGCTGGTGCTGGACGGGGTGATCCAGTGCACGGAGAGAGATGAGTTCTCCTACCAGGAGACGATTGCCAACCTACCTCTCTGCAGCCACCCAAAGCCCCGCAAGGTACGGGGCTTCTTGGCTGATGGCCGGGTTGCTTGTGCCAACAGTTTTAGGAGTCGTGCTTAAATGACAATTGTCCTAATTTGTATGTTGACATATTGAACCCAAGCACCAAGTATGTGGCCTATCAATGCAAATACAGCGCTCTACACTTCGGTAGCGCTTTCACCTGGGGCTTGCAAAGCATCTCGCAAGCAGCCCTTATAGCTTGGGAGATACTAATATCCCTGCCTTATAGGAGGGGGACTGTGTCCGTAGCAAAGCTGTGGAAGTCTCCTGATTGGATTTTCAGGGCTAACTTTCTTGATCCAGACTTTGCTATGACCCTTCCAGCCTGGCTGGACCAAGCTGATTCTCTTCTGTTTTCGGCCTCTCTCCTGTCTCAGGTGCTAATTATTGGTGGTGGCGATGGGGGAGTGTTACGAGAAGTGGTCAAGCACCCATCCGTGGATTCTGTGGTGCAGTGTGAAATTGATGAGGTACGTAATGTGGGAGATGAGGCTGGCGTGTCCTTGATTTCAATGGGCTGTGAGGCTGCTGAGTGGCTCAGGGTAAATGGGAGAGCTGCTTCAAAATATCAGCTACTTCATCCGCTGCAACTGACCCTAAAGACAGCGCTTTCATTCCTTGCCATGTTGGCATGGCAGTGACTGCGCTACCTCCACAGCCCTCCGTAGCAGCAGCCTGATTCTTTCCTGTGGACTCTTCCACGTGCACAGCTGGGGCTAATCCAGTCCGGATTGCAGGATCTGAAGGCTGAGCTCCAGAGAAGAGACGTTCTTCTGGCTTTGGGAAGTGCCCTTTTTCTTCCCCTGAGGGGGACAGCACGCGTGCTCCAACGAAGGGACCTTGTCCCTCTGTTAGGTCACTGCTGAATTGGTGTTCTACTGCTTCCTACGGGGCCTTCTGCTGGTAGGTGGGTCTGTCCTTCCTCCACTGGTCAGTTCATATTGGCGTTCGTTTCAGAAACTGTCGCCGTTGTGCTGGGAAATAGCGGTGTGAGAAATGAGAACTAAGCCCAGAGTCCATTCCTAAGCTCTCTACTAAATCAAATGATGCTGCTGGCTGAGTGTGCCTTGACGTGAATAGGGACTGTGACGGCCATTGAGCACAAGGAGTGGCTCAGAACAGCTGACACTGGTGTCTTCTCACATCTCTGCAAGCTGTAAAGATTCTAGTGTTTAGGGGATACACAGTGATTTTTCACCTGGAAGAAAGTGCTCCTCTACTAGGGACGAGGTGTTCTCCTCCCCCAGAGGCAGAGAGGCCTAGACAAGGACGTTTGCAGAGGAAAAGGAGGGCTCAGGGCAGGGATGGGAATATCGTTCATTGAAAACCATATTGGCAATTTTCAGGGTTTAAAAGAAAATCGCCGTGTTGGTTGGGATCTGCCTCTGCAGATGGTGATCTCCCCAGGGGAGAGGGGAGCAGGCAGGTCTGTGTAATCGGATCCTTTCAGTTCTTCAGGGCACCTTTGGAAATTGCGGGCTCTTTGGGTTTGGCACTTATTGTGCAAGAATGTTGCTGAACTCGGGGGCCATAGGAAAGGGCTGAGCCTTGTGTGTTCGCTTAAGATGCTGGAAACAGACTGCTCTCAAACGGCTGGTGAGGTGTGTCTTAGCTGAGGGTGTGGAAGGAAATGACTCAGCCATTGATCAGCTTGGCTGCATGGCGCTGTATGTACTGACCTGCTTGTTCTGTCTGTTACAGGATGTGATTCAGGTATCGAAGAAATACCTCCCAGGGATGGCGGTGGGCTATTCCAGCCCCAAGCTGACCCTGCACGTTGGGGACGGCTTTGAGTTCATGAAACAGAACCAAGAAGCCTTTGATGTGATTATCACAGACTCCTCCGACCCCATGGGTAAGAACCCAAAGGAAAGGGGAGAGTGGGGTGGGTCCCATCCACGCTCTCCTTCCCATCCTCTCCATGCTAAACACCTCACTGAGGTAGTGCAGAACTGGCCAGGGCTCTTTTGAAGAATAAAGAGAGAATCTTCTCTCCCAGCCTAGAGAAATCCCTCCCTCCCTTTCACTTCAGTTCCTTTGATGGGAAGTGATCTGGTTGGGGCTCCAGATGCAAATCATGGAGCTACTGGAACTACTCCGTCCTTGTCTCTTTGGCCCCGAGCGGGTGGGGGGTGAAACGGCATCTGAAAATTGTTCCTTTGCCAGCACAAGAGCAAGGCCGCCAGCCAGCCCTCTTGCTTCCCTTTTCGTGGCTCTGTGCCCCAGTCCTGGGAGGTGATCTAATTACTGCTGCTAGTAACTAGTTGATCCTGGAGTCTGAAAAGAACTAATTGCCAACCCTCCCTGCCTACTCAGCCTATGGCTACATGTAAACCACTACAGCTGTAGCCATTTAAGGACTTGTCTACACTACAAAATTGTGTTGACCTAAGTTACGTCAGGATCCAGCCGCTGCAGTCATTCAATCGCCTTTGCGTGTCCACCTTCGCTCCTTGTGTCGACCTCACTCCATTGACGTTGACTCTTGTGGAGGTGGGTTAAGTCGGCAGAGCGGGGATGTTACGTCGGAGGGAGCAAAATTTTAGTGTAGACGCTTCCCTAGTGAGGGCGACGTAAGCTGCCTCGCATCGACATCGCTCTGTCGTGTAGACACTACCTACGCTACCAGGAGGGGTTCTCCTGTCATAGGTAATCCACCTCCCCAAGAGGTGGTAGCCAACTCGATGAAAGAGTTCTTTCTTCAGAAAGAACCTGAAAGAGAGTGCACTGGGGTTAGGTTGGAATAGCCACATCTCTCAGGAGTGTGGATTTGTCAGAGACCGCTATAGTGATGTAAAATTCCTCAGTCTTCCTACCTGCAGTGAGCTGCTGTCCGCGCCTCGCCACCCCCTCGAGAAGCTAAGGGAGCTAGCTACCTTCCTTACGTACTCACTGGTCCCATTACCATAGTAGCCAAGAGCCGCAAGGTCTTTAATGCATTAGCCGCCCAACAACCGTGGGAGGCAGGGAAGTGCTGCTGTCCCCATTTTACATATGGGTAACCAAGACACAGCCACGAAGGGCCAGATTTTTAAAGGTATTTGGGCATCTAGCTGCCATGGAAATCAATGGGAATTAGGCACCTAAATC